CCTCCCTCCCTCTTCCCTGCTCGACAGTAATGTACTTCTTCTCACCCTCCATTTTTGTACAATCCTAATGAATTCCGATCCAAATACAATCAGGCTTCCAAACAAAGGATCCGGATATGCATCGGACAACACAAACGAATCAAACCCAGATAACCCTTTCGGGTCTGGGTTCTGGATTTTGATACAAACACAAAAGCAAATCAAAATCCTGCAATTTGAATAATTCCAGAAGGGAGGGAGGGAATTTTGGAGGAAGGGAAGGGGCTGGGTTTTTGGGGAAGGAGAAAAGGCTTGGTGGTAGGGGTGGGTATCAGGGAAGAGGAAGGGTGTCGGTGGGTGAGGGGTGGAGAGGGTGGAGGGGATTGAGGGGTGGAGAGGTAGGGAAGACAAAGGGGTTCTGGGTTTCTTTTTTTTTTTTTTTTTAAATTAATTATTTTAATATTTTTAATAGCACATGACGTCATGCCACGTCATTAGTTAATGAAAGACTTAATAAACTTAATAGTTTGACTAACAGTTGTATGAGATTGTCCCAAAATTTACATTTTAGGTATGATTCTACGACGAAAAAAGTTAATGTAGTAAATATTGAAAATCAGGAAACATAAAAGTAATAAACTAATATTTACTCTATTCTTTTTATAATGTATGAAATTATATCAACTTGAAAAATATTGAAAGACTAACACACACTAGCAGGGAAAGACAAAATAAAAAAAATAAAAAAAAAAAACAAACAAACAAAGGGGAAAGGCAATGACATTAGGTGGCCGACGAACAAACTACTACACTACTTGTGTTCATGTACACTTATTTGTGTTCTTTAGAGGACATAATTTCTTTTGTTCTGCGTTTATGCACGGTGAAATTAATTTTAAGTGGTCGGTCATTTATTAGGGCGTGCACGAGTAACTGTTGCTGGGTAAATACTGTTGGCTTGGTTACCAAAATGTAAAACCTGACAGGCGAGGAGTTGAGGATTAAACTCCAAGTCATAGGGACATCACGATATACAGGCATATTAACTTACAAGGAATAGAGTAAGGAAAAATCGGTATCATTTCTATTCATTTATTTACAAACGACTAAAAAATAAAAAAAAACGTGTGGATCCTGTAGGTTTTACGTATAATTTACCAAAAAAATAAATGTATGTAGAGGGACTATTTATCTCATACTCATTTATTCTCATACTTATTCATTCTTATGTCCATACCACGTAAGTAACAAGTTCTAAAAAGAGAATCCTAGTACTAATGAGTAAGGATATTTCGTAATTCGTATTAGTTGAGAATCAAATGAAATCATCACTGAATTCCACATATCATCTTCGGATTCAGCTCCTAAGTTAACTAGGTCATCTAAGACCATTATATGGGGACTCACGACCCCTCCTTTATGGTATGCAATTCTAGGATTAGAACTTTGCTCTAAAATACTAAATAACTTTGCTCTAAAATACTCGACTGAATTACACATTTAAAGGCCCTTGAATTACACTACACTGGTGTGCTCCCGATAGCTCCTCATTTTTTTTTAGAACTCTAGAGAATAACATGCATGCCCGGTCACGCCCAATTGATTTGGAGGAATTGCCTGACGTGAACCTCAATAAGTCACCTTATTTTTTTAGGGTAATGATAGTTAGGGATATCAAAATTTTAAACCAAACTTTGTAAACAATATAACAATTGTTGATGATTGATTTATTACTTAAGTATTAATTAACGCACTTAATTTTTATTAATGACACATCATATGATTTGCAAATTTAATTTAAAATTTTGAATTAACTAGCATTATTCTATTTTTTTACCAACTTGAGGCACAAATAGAGACAAACATATCACTTTCTGTTTTTAAAAATAAGTCATAAACGAGGGGAGTAGCTGTCAACATCTTCAGTTTCTGGCAACCTAATTTTGCTAACGAGTTCACACTTCACATGCAATGCACCTGATTTCAAGTCAGTTGAGGTCGAGCTGGGTCAAATATTCATCGATCCTTTCAGAAACGTACACTTGTAGTTGTTTCACCACATCCAAAATTTTCAAGGCAACCTTTACTAGTGATTTGACTTTTAGGATAATCAAAAACCATATTTGATAAAAATTGACATTTCCAAATTATTAATTGGTAATTACAGTACTACTACTCTCTTGAATGAAATTTTATTATACTTTTCACACTTGCATGTATCAAATGGATTTCCTGCATTCACACTCTGTCTCGGGGTTTCATGGTTAAGTTGCTTTTCGACTTTTGCTTCAGTTGCTTTTCGGCTTTTGCTTCCAGTTGTTTAAGAGACCATAAACACATGAAATTGATCATTGTGCCCTAGTAATTAATCCAGAAACGGAGATAATCAACTTCGTTACGAGTTCAAATCAATGTAAATTAGCAAGTAATTATCACAAGATTTGTTTAACCGGTCAACGTGCATGAGTCTCCGACTCTATGATAATTGAGTGGTGTGTATATACACTAAATATTTTAAAGAAAAATTTGTGTGGGGGTCACTGGACAATGATAAGTAGCACTACCATCCATTCAAAACGTGTCACTTAGTAAGTATTATCTACAATATTTATTGTAGTTTAATATTTAATTTTTTCTTAATAGATTTTTCTACTAAATAATTACACCTCCCATTTTTTTTCCTCAATTCCTCCTTTCCTTTTTCTCGTCAAATTTTCTTCCAAGCCGCGTATCGCCTCTTTTCTTTGAAAAATCTGAAGAAAATAAGAACCCACCTTCTCTCACTTTTCATATCATGGAATCAACCGATTTTGTCCTTTTTTTTCAATTAAGTATAGAAAAAGTTCATATAAAGTAAGGTGTGGTTGATTGTCTTGTCTAAGGCTGACTGTACCTAGTGCTTTGCATATAAGGATTGTCTAATCTTCCACTTCTGGTGCCCTTTTGCGCTTTTCTGTTTTGTGTGGTCACAGTTAAGCCACGTCAATATTTTATATTATTTTTTATAGAGATAATAAGATAAAAATAAATAGTAATATAAAATGTTAACGTGGCTTAACTGTGACCACACAAACAAAAGAGCACGAAAGGGCACCGGAAGTTGAAGGGCAGACAATCCTTGTCTGCGCTTTGCTTGGTTAGTCGTTGCTTTGGAAAACGGTTCAGAAGTAGCTCTTATAAAAGGGATCCTAATACACAAATCTTTTTTTTTTTTTTTTTTTTTCTAATAAATGAGCTATCGATAATTATAGCAAAAAACATGGGGTATTTATGCGACTGGTGTCCTTCTTTTGATCCTACGAAAAGGGAGAAGCTCCTCAACAAACTACTGAATAGTAGGGAAGGGGGATTTTATCATATGAACTTGGCTTGATTAACACACAAATATCTAATATCCAACAAAGATGATACAAATTGAATCTACCATTTTTAAATGGTAATTCCTCATAATTTGCTGTACAGAAATTCAAACCCCATAAGAAGAGATAAAGATGCTTCCATGATTCTATTGGTTCATTCAAAATGTATGTAGGCGATGGTTTTATAGGATGGTTGATTTTCTCAATCACAACACGGTTGATGGTTTCTTTGGTTCTAAAGTGAAATCTTTTTTTTTTCTCCTAATGATGCATATATTTCTGAAGAAATGCAAGGAAAGGAGTGGGGCAAGCTGAGAAGGAAAGGAAAATTATATAAAATATGGTAAAAATTATATTTAAAGCTTACCACGTGGCAAGTTTTGAATGGATTGTAATGTTACTCAGCATCGTTCAGCGGTAAACCAAGCTCCACACAAGTTTTTCTTTCCCCCAACCAAAATCAAATGTTAATTAGCACCTAGCAGTCAAACATTCAAGTTGCAATATAAAAACACGACGGAAAATATGTATATGGTTTAATTTTAACTATTCCCATATATTCACACTTAATCCCTTAATACTTTATTTTGTCTCAAATTATGTATGTACTCATCCTGTGTGTCTTATACATTTTATTTTATCAATTGAGTTGAAGAATACATTAGGTTCAGACGTGGTAGGAGCTTTTTGGTTTCATAGCCAATTTTTACATTTGAGATCTGAAACAACAAAAATCACAATGGCACGAAAAACCAGAAAACCTCGCCAATAGGGTGAAACCAAATATTGAATAAGAGAATTATTGAACCAAATACAAGATTCATCATATAAATGTCCTGAGAAAGCTAAGCCATCATCAACTATATTTACTTTCTGAAAAATATGCCGGATAAATAACGATGATATGATCCATTCAATACCAAACGGGAAGAAAATAATCATCTAGCAAGAACTCATTGATCCATAACTGCATGCAACACACTTGGGTTATGTCGACTGCTACAAACGGTTAACTGATCTTAAAAGGACCACGTGAAAATTAATTGAAAAAGCTATGGAGATATGAACAGATAAAAAGTCTAAGGTTGGTTGAAAGTTGGAAGGTACTCTAAGCTAGCACACAAGTGCCCGACAATTTCAAAACCGTGTTGTGCCTTTCTGATCATTTCATGCGTGTGTAAGCTGTGGCTTTCTTGAAATCTTGATCAGTCAACATATTGACAAACAAGACCAAACCAAACCTAATTAAGCAGCTTTATATAAAAATTTAAAACTAGCTACTCTATCCTCTATAGTAATTCTTTGGTATATTTATAATATAGTTATGTGACATTAGTTCACTTATTTTTTATTTTTTATTAATACACTTTAGCAATAAAACATGTTTATATTGTGTAATTTTATTACAACACGTAAAATAATAAATCACGCAACTTATATTTCATGTAGCCATAAAAATTTCTCCATATTTACAACTAGTTACAAGGAAGGAGTGCTAAACATGCCGACTTATATATATATATCTTATCTAGAAAAGTGGGAGCCTTGACCTTGACCATAAGAATTTCAAGACCGACAAGGCAACATGGCTTTTATAGCCTTTTCCTGTTTACTCCTTCATCGCCATCTCTCTACATAAAATATCAATTTCTAGACAGATAAATCATGAAGTGACAAATCTTAAGAAAATACCTTGAATGTCTTCGCTCTCTCTTCTTGCTATTTCCTCCCTCTTTCCTTTCCTGCAGCATATTCTTATTGATAGTATTGTCTTTGCCCTCCTCATAGCTGTAGCTATATATATGCATTGCACAGCGCCTGAGTCCTGAAAATTCAGAAAGATTATTTGCTCTACTACTTCCAAGCCTTTTTATCTTCATCAACAATGGACTCAACGTGGGTGAACACTTCTCTCGGCCTTAATCTTGTTCCGTTATGCAGTGCCGATGATCATCAAGCTCCTGCCACTGTAAGTAGTATTATGAATTCAAGCTTTTTGTTGTTGTTGTTGTTGCTGTTGTTAATATCATTCTTTGATGCCTTGTTTCTGGGTTTGACCTAATTTTCTTGGTAAATAAGTTATACGTGTACATATTGGAACGTCTACTTAATCTCCAAATTAATCTGCTTTGAAATCAGATGCAACACGAGCTTGAACGGGATTATGCTCAATTCCAAGGGAATAACGCATTGGTGAAAGAAGAGGTGAGTTAAATTTGTTCTACGTGTTATATATAGAATGAAACTAAATGAAACTATGGGGACAGATTTTGCACATCCTTTTACCTTAGGCATAACCCTATTAATTTTGACCATTAATTTCTCTTTAATTAATTTGTTCAATCCAATAATTAGAAAAAGAGAGATTGAGGGAGGTGAGAAAACGTGTGTAGAAATCATTTTCCTAACACTATTTGTCACCATTAATTAATGACGAAACTAATTAAATTGGTCTTCTAAATTTGATCATGTTGTAGCAGGTAGCTAGTCATCATGATGTGTGGGCTGAAGAGTTGAATAGGATAAGTGTGGAGAACAAGAAGCTGACTGAGACGCTAACTGCCCTCTGCGAGAATTACAACTCTTTGCAATCCCATCTGAGAGAATTGATGATCACCAAGCAGCAGCAAAACAACTCATCTGATATTTATAGGAAGCGAAAGGCAGGCAGTGAAGACTACAACAACGTGATTGGATTAATTAGTCCCGGGACTAATACTGACACCAGCTCCATCAGTGATGATCAAGAGTACTCATGCAAGAGGCCAAAGGAGCACACCAACTTAAAGATTTCTAGGGTATATGTTCGCACCGATGCATCCGATACACGCCTGGTAAGTCCTATTCATCAAATTAACCCTATCCCACTGCTCCACTGCATCACTTGAGATTTCTAGGGTTGTTTTTCTTCATATACTATGGACTTCCATTAAAAATTTATTTGATTTTGATTTAATGCAGATTGTGAAGGATGGATACCAATGGAGAAAATATGGTCAGAAGGTCACAAGAGATAACCCGTCACCTAGGGCTTACTACAAGTGTTCCTTTGCCCCAAGTTGCCCTGTTAAAAAGAAGGTATATATTAATTCATTACTTGAACCCCAATCTTCCTTCTTACCAATATATATGAACTTCCAGAGAGAAAAAAGAAAGTGAGATTTCTTCTTTGGATACAACTATATTGTATTTGGGGTGTGGGATTTGGCGACACGACAAGGTAGCTATATATATATGGGAGTTAAACCTCAAACTTTTCACTTACAAAGTAAAAAGAACTACTAGAGATCATAGTATTAGTTCAAAATATGAGATTATATACTGATATTCTTACTAAAATCTCAGGTGCAAAAAAGTGCTGAAAATCCATGCGTACTGGTAGCTACATATGAAGGAGAACACAACCACATGCACCCTGAAAGCCGAGCTGAAATTACACTAATAGCCCCAGTATCTCCAAATCAGAACCAGCAGCTTATTACTAGTACTCCACTTTCCGTTTCACCATCCATGGCAAAGAGATCTGCACCTCCAACTTTTTCACTGTGACATTAACCGGATAAGTCCCAATACTACTATGTGCCCCCAAGAAACTGAAGCTGCGGCGTTCCAACAGTTTTTGATACAACAAATGGCTTCTTCCTTGACCAAAGATCCCAATTTCACATCTGCTCTTGCTGCTGCCATTTCAGGAAGAATTTCAGACCACTCATGATCCGAAAATGGTGAAAAGTGAAAAACCCTAATTAGAGTTACCTTGTTATCACTTGGGGAGAGAGAGAGAGAGAGAGTCATGTGGTTTCCCCCTTTTATTTTTTATTTACATCACATATTATTTGAGAGTTTTAATTAAAGTGTAAGGATGTAAATAGTTACCAATTATTCACTCACATGTATGCAATTAGTATGAGAATCTGAAGAGTCATCGCATATCAAGAAGTTAACGAATCTTGCATAGACTTATAATCCAGTTCCAATTGGTTAGGCGCGTGAGGATTTGAAGAGTTGTTCTTAAAGTTAATGCACCTAGTAGGGGCAACTCCTCACATATGACAAATTGGTTTTCGAAAACCTCAACTTCCTTAAGTGCTCTAAATATGTATTGTTCGTCACATATGGATATAGTTAACTTCCAGATAAGTTGATCAAGACTTCTATTGAAGCACACTTGTACTAAGTAGTGTATGGATTCTTTACACATATTGGGTTGGAATTGCAAACATTTAAAGAAAGAATATATATCAACGATGATTCAACATGTAGGGGATTCGCTTGTGGGAATAATTAATGTCACAAACAAAGATCAACAGAAATCAAACAGAAATTGCAAAGAAAAATACAGAAATCCAAATTATAAGATTTTATATGGAACGACTTGAAGGTGCTGGTTGTATCAGGAAAAAAAAAAGTTTAATAATATTAAGGCCGGAATATTGGACAAAACGAATTCAAAGCAACCATATTAATAAGTTCATCACTTGGAGTAGCTTATCGGAATATGAAAACAGTACATGATCAACGTCGTGGACAGGATAGGATAAAAAATGGACAAGAAAATAATGGGCTTAAAAAATTGGGAGTTTTAACAAAAAGTTTGCGGTACTGTTAATTTTAACGAAAAATCACATTTTTACGCTAAAAAGTCAATTCTGGTACTATTCACTTTACCCTTTATTTTATCTTTATTGTTAAAACTCAAAGTTTTCAAACCCCTTTCATTAATTTTCCTTAAAAAATTTCTAGAAAAGTTTAACTAGTGGAATATATAGTCGTGCGTGATGCAGCCGTATAAATTGACTAATTAAAGAACTACTGCGCACTCTTCAATTTTTATTTTTTATATAACAAAATAAAATAGAAATGCTAAGAAGACTCTTTAAAAGTTAGACATTTTATGAATTCTCTATCACCTCACAATTTAACGTTAATTTCAGTGTCAACATTATAAAATGTTGTGCAAAAAAATGAGGTAATAGAGCGTTCATGGAAAGCCTCACTTTTGAGATAGTCTCTTTAACATTTCTCTAAAATTCAACATGTAATTAATACCGCTAATTGTTTTGGTTTTTTTTCTTTCGAACTTAGAATACAAAAGTCAATGCGCTTAATTAACCGATTGCTACTAGCCCTTTTGTAATCAATCAATTAGCAAGGTAGGAAAGTCTTTGGAGTGTAATTAATGATATGTGTCTCGTATTGGCGTCTAGGTCTTATTTATTTATGACCAGAGAAAGTCTTCACACGTGAAAATGATTTGCAGTTTGCAGTGGCGCTTTTCTGTAGTAACTGGGGACGAGCACCTGTCCCAACTCTCCCAAGTGGTCGTTTGGCACTAGCTAGTACGTACCCCACTAGCATGTGATATGATATTTTTCTCAAAGGATAAAGAAAAAATATTTGTTTTATAGCACAAAGATGTGAATCATGTGATCGTCATACCATTACTCTTGTTTATGTAAATAATTAAACAAATAACATTGGCATATATAATGAGTATTCGAGCTTAATGGAAAGAGGATGATTTTGTTACTGCATACTCTTGCCCAATTATGAGTAATGTGTTGATTTACTCTATATGTATATTTCGATATTTTTTTGTTTGTTTATTTCTTCAGTTAAAAAATTAAAATAAACAAATAATATTTATAAAAAAAATTAACGTATGAAAATCACTTTTTAAAATAGAGCACTAAATTAGTAATAAAGTTAATTAGTGACCGGGTGAATATATTACAAGAACGAATTATAAGTAGATATATATGAGAAATTATATATTTTTTTCGCTTGTATCATCACGAGTTATAAAATAAATAAAAGAATATGAAAAAAAATATAATTTTTTAGACTTATATTCTAACATATAAAATACCGTTAATATTTCATACTTTTAAGAAAGTATCTCGAGATATATGGTAAAGGAAGAGGGAAGAGAGTCGCGCGGTGAAGTGGGTGGTACCGTGGTGGGGAAGTTTCGTACATGGACTGGTCCCTGGCCAGCTTCTCCTTTGTAGGTTAATTTGTCCCTTTCGTCTGTGTACGTTTAGACTTCGACGACCATTGACCTATGAATATGTGAAAAAACAACGACTTTTGGGTTTCTCTGAGGTGGCATGCTGCAACCTTACCATGTTCCCATTGCCACTTAGCAAATATTACTCTTCTTCCAATTCCATTTTTAATTACCACAACGATTAGCTAGCCATATGAAAGTAAATTTTAATTAATCAGGGTAAATAATTAGGGGATTAGAGAAGACTCGTTTAAAATTAATGAAAACTATTTTCCAAGATGTTTTATGTAGTGTTAAGTTGAAATATACAGTCAAAGACGTTCATGAGCTTGACATGGCCCTTACAATCTACATATATGAGATCTCCCTGAGATGGAAAAGCTCTTTGCCTTCTGCCATTAACATCAAAAAAAGAAACCATGGATGATAGGTTCTTGTTTCAAGCCTATTGCGAGAAAGAAAACTTTGATGCCTACATGTTATATGTATATTTTTTTTCTCTTTTAATTGGTAAAATACAACCAAAACTCTAAGGAAATTAAATTCCAAATATAACATCATCAATTCACCAAAATTTGGGTTCGTAACCGTTGCTGCCAACTAGCTTTTAATTTGGTCGTATTTTTCTTTCTAAAGTTTGAATCTTCATTTCTGTTGATAAAAAGATACGTTTTTAAAAGTCTTCGAAAAAGGTTGTTAGAAGATGAATATATAAACAAAATGCACATTTAAATAATAGAATCATTTTTATGGTAATTAGGTGCTTACAACAATAATACGTTTACACCCTAAAAGCAAATCTAAACAAGCCACGTTTCTTTTTCTTTCCTTGTTTTATAAGCAGAGCGTCAAGATTCTCGAACAAACATATTGGACCCCATCGCCAGGCCAAAAAGAAACATTCGCAGCACTACTTACGTACGACGTCTCCAATGTGCTGACGTTGCAGGTTACGTGTTTTATCAGAACGTCACTCGTGATCATTTCATACATATTTTTCCAACACACGGATTTGATTTCAATATTATTCAATTTAAATTCTCCTCATATGTTCAGCCAGGACGGCAATTAAAGCCATTAACACCTGCGTTGAATCAATTGTGAAATTTCCTTCAATTTAACGGATAAGATTCAAGACCTATATATATATGTGTGTGTGTGTGTGTAGGTTAAGGATCTTTGGTTATATACCCGTCTGCAGATAGCATATTGTGTTCCTTCCCAGCTAGCAGAACAGTCTAGTTAATTATATCAGCAACCTGCAGGCTTTTGAATCTTTACATCAACTTATCTGTATCTATAAACATGGATGCTCGTACGCCTAACAAACAAAAGGTAATGAATTTGATTTTATATTAGTGTTCTTCATTTCTGGGTAATAACCGAGCGAATAAAACCTTGAACCCCGGACATAGTGATTTTCACACACTCGTCTTTATTTATAGTCATCGAATTGAATAAATCAAGCAAAATCAACAACCAGAATTAAAAGAGTGTGTGAAAATCATGTATCTGCGTTATTTATTTTGTAAGCCTAACAAGCATAATCTTAACTCATTTACCCACGGACTTTCATCCATGCTTCGCACGACCAGGGTTGAATAATTATGATAATTTGAATGATTTTGCCTTTGTATTATTGTTGATGATCATGATCAGGTTGTGGATAGTGTTCAAGAAGACTTACAACGTTTGAGGAATGAGAATGCAACCCTAAGATTCCTGCTTCAAGCTATGACCACCAGATGCTCTATACTTGAGCAGAAGCACCACCAACACCATCAAATGCATATCCAACAACAACCGTGTGATCATCAGCAAATGCTCAACAGTGCGATTACGAGCAAGAGACCGAGAACTGATGATCATTGCGATCAGTTTCCGGCATCCCACCATAAGACATCACAGTTCCTTGTAAAAACCGACTCTAAAGACAACAGCCTGGTAAGTCAAGTCCTCCCTTTATATATAATATTGAAAATTATATATAAACCTAAAAGCATTAGGGTTCATTTATTAATATTAATTGTGATTTTGTGAATTCAATTGGACTAAATTATAGATTGTGAAAGATGGATATCAATGGAGGAAATATGGACAGAAGGTCACCAAAGACAACCCTTCATCCCCTCGAGCTTATTTCAGGTGTTCCTTCGCTCCTCGATGCCCTGTCAAAAAGAAGGTACCAATAAACGATTCATTTGTCCAAAGAATTTAAGATTTTTATTGATTTATGTACTAATCACACAGACACAAACACACACTTCAGTAAACACAAGGCAATTACAAATAAATCCACTAATATTTTGTTCTTTAAGCTAAACTTGTTTATCCTGTGTTTTCCGCTGCGTCAATTTTAGGTACAGAGATCCATGGAGGATAACTCCTTCCTCATGGTGACATACGAAGGAGAGCACAACCACGACACCATTAATGATTCACTACTATTTGGACAATTTGCATGTTCAGTAGCTGCCGGTGCTGATCTTAAGAACATTATTATGCCCATTAGTGTTCCTTCAAGTAGTATCGAGCCTCATAATGACGTGATTAATATAAGTCCCTCTCCGCCGGAGCCTGTAACCCTTGATCTTAATCTCTCGGGCTCGACTAATCAAGAAAATGGAGGATTAGGAAGCCCTCAAAGCATGAATTGCGACAGAAGAGTTGAGGATTTCATTGCTTCGTTAACCAAGGATCCCAATTTCACACAGGCTTTAGCTGCGGCAGTTGCACGCTCGATTACAGGACCTGCAGACAGACCAAATTAATAACCGATTAGGATCGTAATCCATGGATTAATGATGATTTATGTAATTATCGTCGTAGACTGTAGTACTTTCTCAAAAATGAGGAAATGAATGAGAATGAGAACGATCGTTCGTTTAAGTTTTACTTAACCTGTCATGTCCATTAACGAAAACCTAGTACTGTCAAGTGTCAAGTACATGAGGAGGATTGAAGTTTTTGATGAACTAAGGCATAATTAAAGTTGGTCTCTCCTAATCATCTCATGACGTGAAGAGCACATAATAAGTGATTATGACATGATTAAATTGATTCAGATAACTCTTTATATTTAATAGGAATGATATGAAAGTTTTTTATCGAACTTAAAGGTAGAGCATGAATTACTCATTAAGAAATTTATCATTTTCAACACAAAAATCTGATAAATAAGATTGTAAATAAAAAACTGTCAAACTCCCGAGACATAAAGGAACTCTGCCAAATTCAGCTACTCAAATCTTTAATTCAGGCTTTTGGGGCAAAAATGCCATAAACAAATTACTGTTTTTAAAGACTTTTCCACCTCCAGTACACAAAATTATAATCAATTAGCCGCCACATTTTTCTGCGTTGAATTTGATTGGCCGTCCTTCCACAATCAGCAGGTTTTAAGGTTTACATCTTTTAAGGTTTACAAGCAAATGACAACGTGATAGAAAGGATTGTAAAAGATAAGTTTTCTAATTTGTTTTGATCCATTTAAAATGAAAAATCGCTCACTCCTTCTTTTCGACTTACACGGTATTTTATGAGTTACGCACTTCAATTCAGTCATAATCATTAAACGAAGCATTAATATCAAAAGAGTTGTAGCTCAAGTTGTTGAACATACTCATTCACTCGAAGTCCTATCTTCAAATTTACAATTCTCGAGAACCTCAAACTTAAACACGTGTGCACAGAATGACATCAGAGTGGGAACGTCATGCAAAATTGGATTAGGGTGTTGATTATATCACACTATTAACCATGGTTACCATGTCATTTCCCATTTAGTTGAATAATGGTACGGGTGGCAACCTAAAGTTGTGGACCACAAACGCAGTTGACTAGAGCATCAAGACAAAGACCAACACCTACCCAAAAAAGCATGGCTCTGGTTGTTGTCCTTTCCTCCATACCAAGAGCCGTTGGGAGAGCAAATGGCAGTTCTCGATTATGCTCAGGTGTATCTTATTCATCGAATTTTCTACCGTTACATCTAATAAAAAGAAACCCCAACACGTAAGTTATGTTAAAGCATACTACACTTTTTGTCATTCACATAGCCCTTTTCTCAATTTTTATTTATTATATTGCCTTTTTCTATTCTCTTGTATCAAAGATTTACATCCCTACAACTAAAACAAAATATACATAAGAAATAACACAGCTAAAATTAGTGACGGGAAAATCCGAAAAGGAAACCTAAAAGGCTAGCTACTGCGGTATATTTATACAGCAAAAATTCTTCAGTCGTATCGTACTAGTGGCTTGTCGAACCGGACTCCGTAAGCCCTCCAGCATCTCTGCTCCAGAAAACATTAAACCGTGTCAACAAAAACAAAGAAATCACAAGAGACTGATCAGAAGTTCCTAAAACAAAATTAGAGCACGAAATGGGCTTACTACTTAAGGTGGATCTCTGCCTTCTGTATACCACCAGCTTTACTTTAAAACGATGAGGAAAACATTCTTCTGCACGTCACTAGAATCGGATGTCCCAGTCGTATTAGTGTTCTTGATCCTTTGAACCGATTTCATCCGTGGAGTGAAGAAATATGTCCACTGGAGAACAGCTTTGGTTGCTGAAGGGAATATGGTAATATATATCACTATGACTTAATGTTGGCACTCTTAAACTGAGTCCGTATCAAGCGCTCGGACCCCTTTTTGGAAAGATTTCCCGCTTTCATCTTCTCGTTTTCTGCCTCCTTGAGTGCTTTCTTCTTTTCAAATTCAAGCTGCTTACAGTTTTCCCCGTGTGCTCGGACAAACAACCTCACAAAGTTGAGCAGTGTAGATACAACTGCATGACAAATTTCAAAACTCAATTAGAAAATGCGATAATGCAGTTGAAGAGTAAATATTGTCAGAGAAATCACATTACTTCATTCTTAGCATCTAGTAAGAGGATCAATAAACAGTTTGCATGTTCCAAAGAATGCTCGACACTCAACGCAGAGGGTATAGACCAGGACTACTTCTGAATCATCAGAGAGTATTTATGGATGATAGAATTACTTATGATTCGTAGAGAACCAGAAGCACAACAAAGTTGGAAATAATGTACCTTGCTCAAATGGGCAACGAGCAGGATCTTCCCCAAAATAAAGAGCCAACGCATCTGCGTTTCTCCCCTGAAGACAACCGCATTGAAAGTAAGTTTAACAATGGTTTCTTAGATGTCACAAGCAAACCCAACAGTTTAACAAAAGTTGATACATACCACACTAGAATAAAGGGACGCCAACGACCTCACTTCAGCTTCAGCATGACCGAGGAACTCCTTTAGTGTCTGAAATTTCTCAGCAGATAAAATAAATTAGCATCAAAATAGATTTACAAGAAACAGGATGAAATCACAAGCAACAAATGATCTTAGTAAAACAACTTGAATGAGAGGCAGTTGATGAACTTTGCTATCAGTGGTCAAGTGTTTATTATCAAAACCTTTAGGATGTTCATTTATGATGGTCTATAAATTTTACATGTGAGCCAATTATGTCATCTAATTTAGTTTCTTCAAGCCAAATATGCCCAAAACTTTATGCATGTCACCTTGCAAAACGTTTCTGACACAGGACCATCATTTTCTGAGGCAGTCAACTCTTGCACAACCTTCTCTAGCCCTTTACTAATGGCTTGCATTTCCTCTGCCAAATATTTCAATTGTACCTACATCATAATTAAAATTTAGCCCAGTCACACCAAATGTATAAGTGTTCACTGTACCTACAAGAATAACGAGAAAAAAGAGAGATTATACCTTTGTTGAAGCCTCCAAACTTACAAGGTCTTTTGGAAAATCAAGAAGTTCTGGGAGCTTTTCCGCAAGCACCTGCAGTTTGTTGGAGATGAATAGAATTGTCAAAGTTCAAAATTCTACACTTACAGAACAACTCTATAAGAGTTTGGGACTTAATCAAATAAATGTTTTCTATATGCTTAAACTTCTCCAGCTCAAAATGCACAAAGGGAAGGAGAAGAAGTTCCACAAAAGATTAAAACAATGGACTAAGGGGCGTAAAGAAATCACCTTACAGAGGTAATGCATGAGAGTCATCTTGCTATTCCGGGCTCGTGTATCAGTGAGCTTAAGTAGACTATCCAATCGAAATCCGATAGCAGAACCTACAGGTATAATTAAAAAAAAAACCTAACTGCAGCACAAAGAAAGAATACAAGATACTGGAGCTTCTAGTAAAAAGATTAAGAACAAAATAATCACCACAAAACAAGGAATGCAGTAGTCAATGAATGCAGTGATTCACCACATGTTCAAACAATATACATCATGATGATGTATTAACACAAAATGGTAACCAACAAAATCCACTCACCTCTTGCGGTCCCATGATTCAGGGCATTACCCAAAGAAAGAATGGTTTGCATGATCCTTTTCAGCTTTTCCGAACTTCTGATCTGATAAGCACATTAGTGGAAATTGATTAAGAGGTGAATATTGCAACCACAAATGAAAACATACATACTAAAAATTGAAAACTGCTTGCCTCATCAGCCACTGAATTGATGGTGTTCAAATTCTTTCTGAGGTCAGAAACCTGACAAATTGCAACACCATAGACAAGTGAATAACACGAAGCACAACAGAAACAGAGAGCATTGGGAATAAATTGATTAGAAATACAGTCCCCTCACCTGGGTGTGGAATTGTATTTTAAATGAGAAAACTCTGAGCTTGGGCTCTACCCGTGGCACTTTCATTAATTCAAGGAAAAACTGTCATGAAGTGCACAAAGCAATTAATTAAAGCATAAAATGTAGAGAGAGACACTGGGGGATGGGTGAAGAAGAGTTAGGATGCTTATCAAAGTGATTTCTCCCAAATAGTTCAATACTAATACAAAACTAAGACTCTAAATAGAAAGAGCAGCTTAAGAGTTATGCAGTTGACACCAAAATATATTTTATTTCAGCTGAACGATAAGCAACAGCAAGCTATGCATATTATTAAAATGCACAGAACTATAAATTATTAAGTCAGCACTTGCCTTGCTGTCAACAAAATGAATTCTCAATTGAAAAGAAAGTAGATGTAAGGGAAAGAGGGAAAACGTGAAATCCACTCACCTGTTCACATTTTCCCAAGTTTTCCTTGTCTCCATTGTAACCCTGAGCACCAAAGCATGATTTGTTACTCAGAAAACAGAAGCCTTATATACTATTGTAAGCAATTTCAAGTAAAAAGTAACAAGGGCGTATTTATAGAACCTCCAAGAGTGGCATGGAGCAGAAGATTACAACTAGATATAAGTACCTTGAGTAATTCCATCTCTTCTTTTGTTGGACAAAATTTTATGAGGTTCTCAACCTGATCAATATCTAATGCAGAATCGTCCAAGGCAAGCACTGAACTCTGAAAGATGTCGGTTGAAAAGGAACAAATTAGAAAAGCTACATTAAAGTAGGAACTTTTGTACTAAGATCATTGCACCCAACATCCAAAAATCAGAACAAAAGTTGATATCATGCATCTTTTCAGCAAAGAAACAGCCACTACTTAGTTGCTAGTATGTGAAGTTTTGAATTGTAACATTAATCAGCATTTAACTCTCATCTATTTGTTTACAGAACCACAGACTCAACTCAAACTGTTGAGAATATACAAGAAAACGTGTGCATTTAGATTTAGCTTACCGTCAAATCAGGCAAAGGAATTTTAACTTTAGTAAGCATTATTTCACAATTATATGCCCGCCTTAGCTCAATCTGCAAGAACCAGTAAATTTCTCATTAGAACTGAGGTGGCAAAGGAAGACTATATTCAATTAATTCAATAAAACAAAATAAGGTACAATAGCCAACGCGCTAGATAGATCCTCACTTCAAGCCAGTTAACTAGCAATAACATATTTACCAGATTTTTTCCAAAATGCAAAAAA